TCAAAGAGTAAGAAATATTGTCTCCATGATGCTTAGCACATTAAATTATTTGCTCAAGTTTATAATACACTAATTAAAATTCCTTAATTGTTTATCATACCACAGCAACATAAAACTTAATAATTATAGTTCAATAATTAATTCTTGGTCTATTTTTCACTTTGAGCTAAAAGGTATGTATGGAAAACAAACAAGCAGATTATAGAGATACAACTCAATGAGTTCTACAAATAAAACTATGTATCCTATACCATTATCATGAAACAGAACAGTTCCATAGCTTCACGAAATTCCTTTGCTATTTCCAAATAATCTTCCCTGCATCAAATACTGCACCAGCCAGGCTGTTTAATGGCACTATGTTGTGGGAATCATGGTCCCAGGTTGTCCAGACTTGAAAGCTTAGGTGTTCTGTGGATCATTATGATACTCATCCATATGATACTCATCATATATATTCCATAAAGTAACCAGCAAAGAGACATCATGAGACTCATCTCTAACCTGGGCTTGGAGCACATTGTAGTGTTGAAATGAAATACATCACTCAATGCGCAGATCCATGTTGGTTGCTAATGGATTGTTTTCTATATTCTGTTTCATTCTGCCATTCTTATTACTTATTTTCATGTTTTGGTGGCTTTTTGTTATGATAAGGTAGGATTCTATTCTCTTTCTCTTTTGCATACCTACTCTGTTAATAAATTCCATACTGTAGTATGTATTCATAATGGCTGTTGTTATCCTTGTACTTTCAATGTTGAGATCCAGGATTTTGTAGAGCTCCTCTGGTTGTCATGAATTCCCTTAGCTTTTGAATGCTGGGAAAGATTTTATATCTCCCTCACTTTCCAAAGGAGAGTTTTGCTGGATATATTATTCATTAGTTTTGTTTTTTCTTTCAAGACCTCAGATAAATGATCCTGTAATTTTTTGATTGTAGCATTTCTGCTGAGAAGTCTGTTGTTAGCTTCACAGGCTTTTGTTTATGTGTAACTTGACAACTTTTCTCTGTCTCTATGATTCTCTTCTTGTCTTTAAATTTTGACAATGTGATTATAATATGCCTTGCAGAATGTCTTTTTCTTGGGGTAAATCTGGTTAGGAACCTTTTGAGCTTCTTGTATCTGGATATCTATATATCATTCAGGAGGTGGGAAGTTCTCTGCTATGCTGTAGAACACCAGAACTTATTCCTCCTATATAACTGCATGTTTGTATCAGTAATTTAACCATTCTATCTACCTCTTCTCTCAAACCTTTTCCAGCCTGTAGTAATCACCATTATACTCTCTTCTACAAATTATACTACTTAAACAAAATTAGCCTTTTAAATTTTCAAAAAAGAATTAGAACATGTAGTACTATCTTTCTGTCTCTACCATATTTCACATGATATAAAATCTTCTCTTTTCATCAATTTTGTTGCAAATAACAGGGCTAAATGTTTTGATGAATGTTCCATTGTATATACACATATACACAATGTTTTCTTTGTCCATTAATCTACCAATGGACATGTTCTTAATTTCATCCTAAGCTATTATAGTGTTGTAATAAACATGGGAGTGTATATGTCCCTTTAATAAACTGATTTGTTTTCTTTTATATATACCCAGCAATGAGATAGCTGAATCACATGGTATTTTTTTAAAGAAACTATATTTTTTAGCTTTACAAAACCATATATATTCCATAATGATTATATTAATTTACATTTCCACTCAGAGAGTATAAGAGTTCCTCTTACTCCACATCCTCATCAATATTTGGTATTTTTACTTTATAAATAATAGCCTTTCTGACCAGGATGAATTAATTGTTTAAGCTTTTGATTATCTGATATTATCTGCTATAAGTGCTCTTGAACATCTCTTTCATATACTTATCGGCCATTTGTATGTCTTCTCCTAAGAGACATTTATTGAGATCCTTTGCCTATTTTTAGCTAGATTATTTGGTGGTTCTTTGCTTTTTTTTCTTTTACTTCTATATATATTCTGGACACTAATACCTTACTGGGTGAAGGATTTTCAAATACTTTCTCTAATTCTGGGGGTGGTATCTTCCCTCTTTTGATTGTTTGCTTTGATTTGATAGAAAGTTATAGTTTTTGCTTCTGAAATCTTAACCAAAATTCATCGCCTGAACCAACTGAATGAAATGTTTTCTGGATTTTTTCTCGTAGATTCAAGGTTTCATACCTGATGAAAATTTCGAGTTGATTTCTTGCATTTTAGTGAGAACTGGGTGGAGGCATCTAGATTCATTCTACGTATCAATATTCATTTTCCCACCAACATCCATTGAGGAGGTTATTCCTTATCCAATAAATGTTTTTGATATCTGCATTTGAAATCCATTATAGATGAGTAGAAAAATATAGACAAAAAATTTTAAACACCCAAAAGCAGTATTCCATATTTATTGGATATCATCAAATAACCTAATATATGTCTTAGAAGGTCCTGAAGGAATGGAAACAGATTGGCTTAGCAAACTTTTTTTTAAGATTTATTTACTTGAGAGAGTTACACAGAGAGAGAAGGAGAGCCAGAGAGAGAGAGAGAGAGAGAGGTCTTCCATCCACTGTTTCATTCCCCAGTTGGCCGCAATGGCTGGAGCTGTGCCGATCTGAAACCAGGAGCCTGGAGCTTCTTCCAGGTCTCCCACGTGAGTGCAGAGACCCAAGGAGTTGGGCTGTCTTCTATTGTTTCCCAGGCCATAGCAGAGAGCTGGATTGGAAGACAAGCAGTCGGGACTCGAACTGGCACCCATATGGGATGCCGGCACTCCAGGCGGCGGCTTTACCCACTACACCACAGTCCTGGCCCTGTAGAAAGCTTATTAGGTGAAATAACAGCAGAAACTTTCCCTAATCTGGAGAAAGACATGCACATCCAAGCACAGGAAGCAATTAGAGCCCCAAATAGATATAATCAGAGAAGGCATTCACCACAACATATTACATTCCAACTTTCAAAAGTAAAACATAAACAAAATATTCTAAAATGTGCAAGAAGAAAATGTCAGATTACTTTTAAATGATCTCCAATTAGATAGGCAGCAGATATCTCAGCAAAAACACTATAGGCTGAGAAAGAGACATAGTCCAATTTCTTAAAGAAAACAAAATTGTCAACCCAGAATATTATACTCATTAAAGTATAAACACATTTATAAATATAGGTAAATATCTTCAAAGACAAACAAAAATTGAAATAATTTGTCATCATGCGGCCAGTATTATAAATGATACTTCAGAATATACTGCAAACAGAAACAGAGAAAGTTGACCAACATCATGAAAGATTATGTGTGTGTGTGTGCATGTCCTCCTTTGCTCTCTCCTCCTGATTTTTAAAAAACTTTTAATATAAATGGCAGATTTTATGCATTTCATAGATAAAATTCTAAGAAGATAATCACACATCTTTCCCAACCTCTTCCCTCCCTCAATTCCCACTTGTTCTTTCTTCTTTTTTTTTCTTTAACTTTTGAAAAAAAAAGACATAATTTCCATTTACTTTACAATCACAGTTTTAATGGACCACTATTAATAATATTTAACAAGTAAAAAGTAGAAAGAGCACTGTTCCACAGGATAAAAACGAGGGACAAAAATAGTGATTACATAATAAGATATCCATTTCATTCTTATATTTTTATATTAACTACCACATATCAGAAAAAACAAATATTTGTCTTTTGGGGTTGGGCTTCTTTCACTAAGTATAATGGTTTCCAATGGAATCCATTTTGTTGCAAAAGACAGGAATTCATTCTTGTTTATGATTGAGTAGCATTCCATACTAAATATATATATATATATATTTATATTTATATATATACACACACACATCACGTTTTCTTTATCCAGTCTTCAGTTGAGGGACATCAGGGTTGATTCCATGTCTTACCTATTGTGAATTGAGCTTCTATAAACATGGGGGATACGGATAGTCTTTCATGTGCTGATTTCATTTCATTTGGGTAAATTCCCAAGAGGAGGTGGCTGGTAGATTTATTTTCAGATTTTTGAGGAATCTCCATACTGTCTTCCATAATGACTGTTCTATTTTACATTCCAACCAATGATGTATTAGGGGTATTATTTTTCTCAGCATCCTCACCAGCATTAATTGATTGATTGATTGATTTTTTGGATGATAGCCATTCAAACTGGAGTAAGGCAAAACCTCATTAGGTGTTTATTTGCATTTCCTTGATTGCTAGTGATCCTAAGCCTCTTTCCATTCGTCTGTTAGCCATTTGTGTTTCATCATTTAAAAAGTGCCCATTTATGTCCTTTCCCCATTTCTTAACTGGATCATTAGTTTGCTGTTGCCGAGTTTCTTGAGCACTTTATATATCCTGGATATTAATCCTTTATCATTTGCATAGTGTACAAACATTTTCAACTATATATCCTGGATATTAATCCTTTATCATTTGCATAGTGTACAAACATTTTCAACTTGTCTGTATCTCTTTCACTCTTGCTTTGCCTTTCAAACATTAAATTAAAATTTTTTAAAAATAAAGATGGATGGATATATAAGCTACATATTTTTAGGGCATATTCTGTATTTCTACATATTCTGTAGAGTGTACATTGCATAATGTATTTGTCAAAATCCATAGAATGAGTAACATCAAGAGTGAACCCAATGTAAACTACTGACTTTGCATGCTGCTTTTATGTGTTAGTGGAGGTCATCATCTCTGACAAATGCAACACTCTAGTGTGTGATATTGAAATTGTGAGACACTGGGCAGATAAAGAGTAATAAGTTAAACAGGAAATCTGTAATTTCCCCCAAGTTTTAGAGCCTAAATCTAAATGTATTATAGCTGCTGAGTTTATTAATTCAGTTCAGCTCTACATTTAAGCCGAATACTGCAGGGCCTAGCACAAGTAGGCACCCAATAAACACTGATAAACTGATGAATGGTTAGAGGCCAAGAGAGATGTGATTCAGGGAAACGTGCTTACTTACTCCATTCCCACTGCACAATACATCCGTACAATTTTTTGATGTAAATTTAACTCCTTTTGATTCTACACACCTTCTATTTATACAAATCTAAAGAAAAACATATCAAAAAGTTTCTTATTTAGAGTTCAGACAACATAACATTAAAATTCATAACATAAAATCATAATCATTCAATGCTATAAATTTCCCTTCTACGCACCAAATTTGCTGTACTCTACAAATTTGGAGAAGTCTTATTTTCATTTAGTTCAAAATAGAATTTCTGTGACAGTTTTTTCAATCAGAATTATTTAAAAGCATTTTATTTAATCTCCAAGTATTTCAGGACATTGCAGGTAACACTAATATAAACTATTCATGTTGGTTGATAATGATGAGTCAACATAATCACACCAATTGTAAAAACAGTATTACCCGGATGTTGGTTGTGGACAGTGGGGTAGGTTGTGTGCAATATAGATGGCATGGGACATTTGGAAACTTGCTGTATCATACACTCAACTGTGCTATAAAACTAAAACTAAACTAAAATACGTAATTATTTGAAAAGATGAGGATAGAACATGCTGAATATTAATGAAAGTAGATTGGCTATTGTGGGGAGCAACTCGGACTAGACTGTTACTGGAATTAAGACTTATTCTATGCATCTGCTCTCCCACAATATGGCGCTGGGAGAGGAGTAAACAACTTCTACACAGCTGCCTCCAGTTCGACCAATAACCTGCGGGAGCTGATCCTGCTCCTGATTGGAGGAGAGCAGCGTACTCGGCGTGTGGGTAGCAGAGTTGGAATTGGTGGAAGAGGACTATAAAGGAGGAGAGAGACAACATGCACCAGGAACATCTAAGGGGAACATCCAGATAACATCTGAGCAGCCCCCGAGAGAGCCAGCCGGCAGTGTGCCGCTCCCCCGCAGAAGTGGGGAAAGTGGCAGGGGGAGCCGCCCTTCCACAGAGGTGGAAGGGTCGGTAGCCAACCCGGGAAGAACCAGCAGCAAACCCGGGGAGGGCCGAGCAGACAAAAGAACAGCGCAGGGTCCTGTGTCGTTCCTCCACGAAGAGGGGGAGCGACATAATGGTGCCGTGACTCAGATAGGGAACCTAGGCAGGGTTTAGTGTCATTCCTCCAGGAAGAGGGGGAGCGACAGCTATCATGGAAAAAAAACATAAACAAAGAACCACTCTTAATTATAATACCTTGGAATCTAACAAAACTATTCTTCAGCAGAGAATTAAAAGAATGTCTTGCATTCATTGTATGCAAAAAATTTTGCATAGAAAGAAAATCAATATAATATATCATGGCACATGTTTCCATAAATTATGAGCTATTAATAGAATCCCCTAAGTATTTAATATAGATAATAGAATTTTTGTTAAAATATAATAGAGAGGACGAGTATTTGGTTCAAATGTTAAGTTACTATTTCACGTTCCAGATACTTCACTTCTGATTCAGCTTGTTCCTATTGCTCTAGGAGGCAGCAGACATTTCAATTTCTTGGGTCACTCTCACCCATGTGGAAGAGCCAGACTAGTTCAGCAATCCAGCTTTGGTGTGGCTGCAGATTTCTCTCTTTCTCTCTCTCTCTCTCTCTCTCTCTCTCTCTCTCTCCCCCTCACCTTCCTTATCTCTGTCTTCCTCCCCCAGACTTTGAAATGAAAATAATAAAAATTATTAAATCTAATGATATTATTTTATTATGAAATGTTAAAAATGCAGACATGGTGCTTTTAAGTTTAAAGATAGAGTAAGTAGGTGTAGGCATTTAATCTAGTGATTAAATATATCTGGGATTGAGTCCCAGCTCCACTCTTGATCCTGAATTCCTCCTAATTTGCACTGTAGTAGACCACAAATGATGCCTCAAGTGATAGGGCATGCTTTCACTTTAAGTGGCAGTGATTCTAAGTTTCCTGGCTTTGTGGAGTGAACCAGTGAATGAGGGTTCTCTCTCACTGTCTCAGTATGCCATGCTTGTCTGTCTCTCTTTCTCTGTCAAAAAAAAGTTTTAATTTCAAAAATAAAGTGTATTTGTAGACTACTAAGGATATATTCCTAACTCCATTAATACCAGCAATCTCGAATTCCATAGACTGCAGTTTTCTCACATGAGTAAAAGAATACTTTTTTTTCTAAAAAATGTTATTTTTAAAAAGTAAATAACATTTGTTGTTTCTAAGTTAAAATGAGATAATGAACAAGAGAGTGCCTCCTTACAAACATTAAACAGAGGACAACTGTGTTCAAAGAAATGGAATCACAAAAGCTTTATAAACCAAATCTAACCTTTTTTAAAATGACTTACTTTATGTACTTGAAAGGCAGATTTACAGAAAGGATATGGGTAGACTAGGCCAAAGCCAGGAGTATGGCCCACCCACATGATTAACAAGCCCCCAGATTTTGGGCCACCACCCATTGCTTTCCCAGGCACGTAGCAGGCAGCTAGATTAGAAACAGAGCAGCAGGAACTGGAACAATTGCTCCACCTTGGCCTGCCAGCATCTCAAGTAGTGCTTAACCCACTGCAGTACAATGCTGCCTCCAATTTAATCCTTTTGAACCCTCAATTTAACCTTTTTAAACACTTCTCACTGAAAATTGGCAGTGGTGTGCATTTAACAACCATTTCTGTATCCCTGGCACAGTTGAAATTGAGATAAGAGCCCTACTATATAAGAATGCTGACTTACAAAAACAAAATTGTCAAGAATATTTTATTGTATTTAATTTATAATGTCACAAAAAGCTGAGAAAATTTCTTTTCACACAATAGCTCACAGAATATTCCATGCTATAAAAATGATGCTATTCTTATTAAATTACCAACTGAGAAGACGGCAGAATAGGGAGGGAGTGCACCGACAGTCTGGGAAAAGATATTTAATAAAACTGGAGATACTGTAGTCTCAGGGAAGAGTTAGGGAAAAAAACTGCAGAGGAAACTCTTTCAGAACTAGTGGGACAGAGTGGACCAAAGTGGAGGGCATGGGCGCCCACAGCTCAGGACCCCAGCCGCCAAGTCTATGCACCAGCACTGGAAAGGGAGGTGAGGTAAAACCACAGTAGCCCGAGACACTGGAGGAATAGTGGCAGGAAAAGCCTAGAGGGAACAAGGCTTGAAGCCCCATGGGGGAAAGTTCACCAGCCTAACTAGAGAGAGAGAGAAAAAAAAAAGGATGATATGGACACGGTTCTCTCTCTCTGCACACCTTAAAAACGCGGGGAAAACAATACAGCAGGTCCCATTTTGGACATACGTAACAGCTGCGCCATCCCAGAGCTGTGCCCCGCCTTCAGCCAAGCAGGAAAACCTGACTCTGGTGGGGAGCAATAAAAGGAGGTTAAGACCTAGTGAATATGTGGAGCTTATGAACTGGGACTGTGAAAAGAAAAATGAGGGTGTGTGGGAGAACTCACGGTGAGCCTGAGACATGAGGGAGTACTCTCTGGGAGACACCACAAACTCAGTAACCTTGGCTACCCGGTGGGAGACATTGCAGGGGAATCTGTCTTACACTGAGGACTGCACAGAGCCTTTGTGTGGTCCTTGAGACAGAACAGACGAATATTATACCCACAGGGGCTAGCACTCAGGCACTGACTGCCATCAAGGAGAAGAGCTCAGCTAAGTGGAATTACTTCCCTTCTGAATAAAATAAGAGAGAGCGAGCGAGCGAGAGAGAGAGAGAAATATTTACCATGCCAAACCAGGGTGTGTCACCTTTGGCACACCCTTAACCCTGAAGAACTGAACAGAGATCTCTGGCCACACCCAACACAAGCCCTTAAAGAGTCACCAAAAGCAGACAGTCCACTTAATTTAGAGTAACAGTATAATGAGAAAAGCCACCACAGAGAGGAAAAAAAAGAAGAAACCTAAGAATATCTCCACAATGCCAAACAACAAATGCAGAAATCGAGGAAACAAGAACAAGGAAGACATTATGATGTCCTCAAATGAACATGACACCTCAATACAGATTATGAAGATGATGAAATAGAAGAAATGCAAAATATGGATTTCAAAAAATTTATGATAAGAATATTTAGAAGTTCTCAAAAACAAATTCATGAACAACAGAAATCCAAACTGGACAGGACAGAAAACATCTCTGGTGAAAAGGAAATCTTAAGGAAGAATCAAAATGAAATGAGGAATTTAGTAGAACATGAAATTGTGATATTGAAAAGAAATCAAAATGAAGAATTCAATGGAACAAATGACAAATGAATTTGAGAGCTGTAAAAACAGAATCAGTGTGATAGAAGAGAGAATATCAGACTTAGAAGACAGAGCACAGGAAAGTACACAGTCAAACCAAAGAAAAGAAGAGGAAATTAGAAATCTAAAAAATATTGTTGGGAATCTACAGCATACTATTAAAAAATCCAACATTCGGGTTCTAGGAGTTCCTGAAGGCATGGAGAGAGAGAAAGGAATAAAATTCCTTTTTAGTGAGATACTAGCAGAAATCTTCCCGGGTTTGGAGAAGGACAGAGACATCCAAGTACAGGAAGCACATAGGACCCTGAATAAACATAACCAAAAGAGATCCTCACCATGACACATTGTAATCAAACTCACCACAGTGAAACAAAAAGAAAAAGATTCTAAAATGTGCCAGAGAGAAACGTCAGATTACTCTCAGAGGATCTCCAATTAGACTCACCGCAGACTTCTCATCAGAAACCCTACAGGCTAGGAGGGAATGGCGAGATATAGCCCAAGTACTAAGAGAGAAAAACTGCCAGCCCAGAATATTATATCCTGCAAAGCTCTCATTTGTGAATGAAGGTGAAATAAAAAACTTGCATAGCAAACAGAAATTGAAAGAATTTGTTACCACTCGTCCAGCCCTGCAAAAGATGCTTAAAGATGTGTTACATACAGAAATACAGAAATACGGCCATCAATACAAAAGAAGGTAAAGGAAGAAAACCTCCCAGTAAAAGATCACAGGAAGTTCAAAGTGTATATTAGAAATATCTTTGGGGCCAGTGCCGTGGCTCAATAGGCTAATCCTCTGCCTTGTGGTGCCGGCACACCGGGTTCTAGTCCCGATCGGGGCACCGGATTC